CTGGGCGGTGCTATGAGCAAATGGAAGGGGCCCGGGCGGTGCTATAAGCAAACGGAAGGGGCCTGGGCGGTGCTATAAGCAAATGGAAGGGAAGGGGCCGGGGCGGTGCTATAAGCAAATGGAAGGGGCCGGGGCGGTGCTATAAGCAAATGGAAGGGGCCCGGGCGGTGCTATAAGCAAATGGAAGGGGCAGGGTCGGTGCTATAAGCAAATGGAAGAGAAGGGGCCGGGGCGGTGCTATAAGCAAATGGAAGGGGCCTGGGCGGTGCTATAAGCAAATGGAAGGGGCCTGGGCGGTGCTACAAGCAAATGGAAGGGGCCGGGGCGGTGCTATAAGCAAATGGAAGGGGCCTGGGCGGTGCCATAAGCAAATGGAAGGGGCCGGGGCGGTGCTATAAGCAAATGGAAGGGGCCTGGGCGGTGCTTTCAGCAAATGGAAGGGGCCGGGGCGGTGCTATATGCAAATGGAAGGGGCCGGGGCGGTGCTATAAGCAAATGGAAGGGGCCCGGGCGGTGCTATAAGCAAATGGAAGGGGCCTGGGCGGTGCTATAAGCAAATGGAAGGGGCCGGGGCGGCGCTATAAGGCCGGGGCGGTGCTATAAGCAAATGGAAGGGGCCTGGGCGGTGCTATAAGCAAATGGAAGGGGCAGGGGCGGTGCTATAAGCAAATGGAAGGGGCCGGGGCGGTGCTATAAGCAAATGGAAGGGGCCGGGGCGGTGCTATAAGCAAATGGTAGGGGCCTGGGCGAGAGGACTATTCTAGTCAGATGTGGTCAGTTCTGTAGGTAGTTAATTTGGCAAATTGAAACAGTTTACAGGGACAACTGCAACAGGTTGCTGCAGCATAGCCTGGCATTCAACACATGTGGTGAAACGTTCTAGGTTATGAGACTGCTGCAGCTGACATGTATCACTCCATAGGAATGGTCATGTCTGGCAGGCTGCCAGCGAGATGTTCGAGATGTTTCCAGACACGGACGAAGAGGTTTGGAGTTGGTCTGTCCAGGCGACCTCGCATTCTCTGGGCGTGGGCTCAGGTTGGCCTGCCATCCGGTCATCGGCGAGTGGCAGTCGAGGCAGGGGCTCTACTGCATACGGCCTGCGAAGGCACGGAGAGGACTAACAGTTCTAGTCAGATGTGGTGGTTAGTTTCAGCAGATCGAAACAGTTTAAAGGGACAACTGCAACAGGTTACTGCAGCATAGCCTGGCATTCAACACATGTGGTGAAACGTTCTAAGTTATGAGCCTGGGCGGTGCTATTGCTATAAGCAAATGGAAGGGGTGGGCGGCGCTATGAGCAAATGGAAGAGGCAGGGGTGGTGCTTTCAGCAAATGGAAGCGGTGCTATAAGCAAGTGGAAGGAATGGGCGGCGCTATAAGCAAATGGAAGGGGCCTGGGCGGTGCTATAAGCAAATGGAAGGGGCCCGGGCGGTGCTATAAGCAAATGGAAGGGGCCGGGGCGGTGCTTTCAGCAAAGGGAGGGGGCCTGGGCGGTGCTATAAGCAAATGGAAGGGCCTGGGTGGTGCTTTCAGCAAATGGAAGGGGCCTGGGCGGTGCTTTAAGCAAATGGAAGGGGCCTGGGCGGTGCTATAAGCAAATGGAAGGGGCCCGGGCGGTGCTGTAAGCAAATGGAAGGGGCCTGGGCGGTGCTATAAGCAAATGGAAGGGGCCTGGGCGGTACTATAAGCAAATGGAAGGGGCCTGGGCGGTGCTTTCAGCAAATGGAAGGGCCGGAGCGGTGCTATAAGCAAATGGAAGGGGCCGGGGCGGTGCTATAAGCAAATGGAAGGGGCCTGGGCGGTGCTTTCAGCAAATGGAAGGGGCCGGGGCGGTGCTATATGCAAATGGAAGGGGCCGGGGCGGTGCTATAAGCAAATGGAAGGGGCCTGGGCGAGAGGATTATTCTAGTCAGATGTGGTGGTCAGTTCTGTAGGCAGTTAATTTGGTAGATTGAAACAGTTTACAGGGACAACTGCAACAGGTTGCTGCAGCATAGCCTAGCATTCAACACATGTGGTGAAACGTTCTATGAGACTGCTGCAGCTGACACGTATCACTCCATAGGAATGGTCATGTCTGGCAGGCTGCCAGCGAGATGTTCGAGATGTTTCCAGACACGGACGAAGAGGTTTGGAGTTGGTCTGTCCAGGCGACCTCGCATTCTCTGGGCGTGGGCTCAGGTTGGCCTGCCATCCGGTCATCGGCGAGCGGCAGTCGAGGCAGGGGTTCTACTGCATACGGCCTGCGCAGACAAAGAGAGGACTGTTCCAGTCAGATGTGGTGGTCAATTCTGTAGGCAGTCAATTTGGCAGAGTGAAACAGTTTACAGGGACAACTGCAACAGGTTGCTGTGGCATAGCCTGGCATTCAACACATGTGGTGAAACGTTCTAGGTTATGCTGCAGCTGACACGTATCACTCCATAGGAATGGCCATGTCTGGCAGGCTGCCACCAAGATGTTCGAAATGTTTCCAAACACGGACGAAGAGGCTTGGAGTTCAGACTCCGCGAAGTCGCCGAGCGGTTCCGAGAACGACATGAAAAAGCTGTGCAAAGAAAAAATAGCGGAAAGCCAACGCGAAGGCGGCGGCCGGTTCTGCAGCCGTGGGGTCGACGGCCGATGCGTCCCAGACACAGGGAGCAGCAAGACCGGAGTCGCAGCAGCAGCCAGGCCGCCGATGCCGTAGTGAGTCATAGGGTTTCAGAATGCGCCACGCAGGTAGCGAAGAATCAGAGCCAAAGCCTAGCACCCCGGAGGCAAACGACAGAGGCCGCTACATGTGGGTGCGTCGGAGTGTGCTGACGATGCAATGCCTGAATGCTCCAGGATCTGAATCTCCGTGTGCAACCGAACGCCATCCGGCGGAGGACTGCTCTGAGGGCCCGTCCACCGAAGGAGGGCAAGTCATCCGGCGGACGACGCCGACAACATGTGAGACCGTGCTTGTCCATCGCCGTGCATGATCTGGTGTTACCCACAATTTCCACGAAAGCATTATGATCCTGTAGTCGGGAAATGGAGCATAACCGATTGCGGCACGCGGTGCGGACCCAGTCCCCGCAAGTGCCGGCGCGCAGCAGAGTTGAACATGTCATGTCGAGACGAAATGCGGCAGACGGCTTTTTCATTGCATCTGTGCATGCTGGCATAGGTGTCGACTGACAGTTCGCTCCCCTCGCAGCATTGAGACCTCGTGACTTAGGGACTGGATTGTCAAGCTATCGACCCATCACCATGGGCGTGCTCTGTCTGCGATTGCTGGCAATTGTCTCACTCGGCTCTATCACGCCGCCGCCTCAGCGTGCCGTGTGCGAGAAGGTCAAACTCCGACCGTGCTTCACAGGTGGGGTGGCAGGTCGAACGAGCGACCTCGGCTGAACAACGCGCCGGCGCCTCAGTCAGGGACCGCATCCGCCCGTGGTTTTTGCTTGGGTGATCAGGTCACAGGGAGGGAAGCGCAAATCGGCTCTATGCGCCAACCCACGTTGGGGACGGAGCTCGGGGTCTACATCCACCGTAACAAAACGACGCATATTTTTGTAATGCATAGGCTGGATGGACACGGAATCGTCCAATATAAAACGGTGTTTTTTGTAGACACAGGCTGGATGAACACGGAATTGTCCGTAACAAAACGGCGTTTTTTTCTGAACATCGACACGACAGAGACGAAATTGTCCGTAACAAAATGGCGCTGTTTTTGTAGACATAGGCTGGATGGACACGGAATTGTCCGTAACAAAATGGCGTGTTTTTTTCTGAACATCGACTTGATGGAGACGGAATTGTCCGTAACAAAATGGCGCTTTTTTTGTAGACATAGGCTCGTGGGAGAGTGGGGGAGTGGGGGAGTGGGGGATGCCTGAAGCTCTCAAAGAACTCAAGAGACTCAGAGCATTAGGGCCAGAGACTCGGGGTGGGAGCCAAAAAGAGCCACGGTCGCCCGGGAACTTTCAAACACAGGAGCCAAACATGAGGCGCTGATTGTATACCATAGATAATCATCCCTAAACCAAAGAGAACTCGGCGGCAACACATCATCCCAAACCACGGAGAACCTCCCTAAACCGTAGAGAGAGTTTGGCTCCGCGGGGAGTACTCCACGATTCGGGAACCAGAGCGAGCCAGTCATGTCACTGCCCCAGCCTCTATCCCAGAGGTGGGCATCATACACGCCATGGAGAGATCTCACGCTGCGGATCAAGACGGGAGCCACGATGAAGGTGACTGCAGTTCTAAGAGGTCCTGAGAGCATCGGAGCCTGTTTATCGAGCCCATGGCGCGGGCATAGCCCCCAGGGCTCGATCATTCTTGTGCCGATGTTGCCGCTCGAGGCGCAGAGCCTGATCCAACGCCCAAAAAGACACTGCGCGAAACTCGTCCGCGCGCAGCGGTGCTACATGGACTCATGGGCGGCAGCCCTGACCAACCGCATCGTCGCAGGCCTCTGGCTGGCTCAAGCAAGCTAACCGGACTGACACAGTGAGTCGCACGCACACGACCGATCGGTCGCCCCCTGTCCGGCCTGAGACCATCACTTGTGTTTGCAGTCTGAGCTGAGTAGCATATGTGAGCATGCTGCTTGCCGAGGCAACGGTCAGGTGACAGACACTTAATCAAATCTGTGCGTCTGCAAAGGCCAGCTCTCATGTCAACGCCCGCCTACTTGGCGTGCCTCTTCTACATGATGCATGGGTCGCCAGCTGAGCATGTATCTGTTGAGGTGACATAACACGCGCGAAGAAGCTCGTGGGTATGCCTCGCCTGAGGCTCACGCTTGCAACTTTGACGGCTGAAGAGCAACGCAATCTGCTGCAGGCACTTTATTCTTCAAGATGCGAGTCTGGTCCAGCTGCACTGCGGAGGCTCTGGAGGAGATGGCGGCCTACGAGGGCCACGTCGATGCGGCACTGGAGCGTAGAATCGCTGCACTGAGGTCAGGGCTTATGCAGAGATTCGCTGTTCAGAGACAGTTGCACGTCTGCGCAGCACAATGACCAGGATGAACTTCGGCGCCGAAGAGTGTGCCTCCACGCACGGGACCTCTTCTTTCCTCCAATTAATGCCTGAAGCTAGGTGTGCTGGTGTGCAACACGTCACCAGGAGCGTAGAGACCCCGCCTTCTCCATTCTCCTGGTGCAGTTCTAGGCCAGCAGACTGCAGGCGTTTCCTTGCAGCTGCTTGTGAGCCCTGCAGGCACCCCGGCACGCAGTGTTCGTCAGTGCAAATCAACGACGTAGTCTCCACAGGCGTGCCGGCAACGCCTCAGGAAGTGCAGCGGCGCGGCTTTCGAGGAGCTCCAGCGATGGCTTCGGGCGAGGTGCTCAACGTGCCCGCAGACGGCCATTGTCTCTTTGCCTGCGCTGTGGCCGCCCGTGATGTGGATCGTCTCCGGAGTCTCAGTCAAGATGGGTTCGGGTTTCTGCGCTCCCAGCGCGAGGACCGTGAACTCGCTACGGCATGTGCCAGACTCCGTGCTATCGTAGCCGACAGGGCCGTCCACGATGGCAGGTATGATGTCGTCGACCAGCTCACATCGAGCAGCTTGCCTGAGGGAGCCATCCTGCATTACGTGGCAGAGTGGTTGGGAGGCTCCGTGCATGTGACTGTCGATGGGCTCGACACCGAGTATGACGTGCTCTTTGGCGAAGGACCCATTGTTTGCAAGTTGTTGCTCACATATCAGACGGGCCCGGACGGAGCGCCTGCGCCGCACTATAACCTGGTGGGCAGTTGGATGGCACAGCTGAAGACGAGAAAGAGGTCTCGGGCCGAGCGTGCGAAGACTAGCGGTAGCAGTAGCAGCGCATCCAGCACAGCCTCGATGTAACGTGCAGGATAGACAATTTTGCTCCAGTGCCTTATTCGACACAAGCTCAGCTGTGCGCTTTCACCATTCTATGCACGGCGCGGGCCTTGCCCCCGTGCGCCGCAAGTAGTGCACAACGGCTGTCGCAAAAAGATGTTCCCACTTCCTACCCGTAGAGTTCGACGCGACTCTGTGACAATGATTCGCATTCCTCGCTGCAATCTGGTCATGTGATTATACTTGAAATAACATTTTCGGCTCCAGCCCTTAAGCTTTTGACACTCGGCAGGGCAGATCAAGCGAGCCAGTCATGCCACTGCCCCAGCCTCTATCCCAGAGGTGGGCATCATACACGTCGTAAGCCGTGAGCAGCTGAGGTCGAATGTTGAGGACGACGCTCCGCAGCGCGTCCCCCGCAGGTCGAGTGGTTTTCTTGCATCTCAGCACTTCGAACACCTGCAGCTGTGAGGCGACGTGGGCCGCATGACCGAGCGGGGGCACGCGCCCGCCGCGAGGTGCATTATCACATTATCGGTTGCATGAGTGCTTGCCCTTCAGTGGAATATTTTCGGACTGCAGGCTATGGATGAGCAGGTGACTTTCCTTGACAATTGTTCATTTAGACATGTGACTACGTTGCTTCGCACGGGGCTAGCATCCGCGAGGTGGCGACGACTGTCTACCCAGACACGGACGAGGAGGCTGATCGGCTGGGGTACACTCTCATGCCGTGCGCGCAGTCCTTGCGTGTGACAAGGTCGGAGTTCGCGCTGACACCCTTGTTCCCGAGGCACGACTGCGGCGCGCCTCACGTTGCTTGTCTCGACGCCTGCCAGGCGCGGGCTCCGCCATATCGCGACGTGATCCAGGCCCAGGCAAGACCACACGCGCGATGGCGTACGCTGCCGATGCGTTCAAACTCATAGTTTCCCAGGGGGGCTTCTTCGTCTTATACGTCCCCGCGGGGTATTATCTTGTTCTTGTCGTGGACCTGGCCTCATGATGCTGTTTGTGCGCACAGCTGCTCGGTGTTGCCTCTGCGCCTTGTCCTTTTGCTTTGTCAGGTTGTGATCGGGCCGGCCCCCTTGTGAGAGGCCGACTCCGGGGCCGACGACATGGACTACCTTCCGCGCGCCGCGCAGCTGGAGTGTTTAACGGTGCGCTGCAAGTCTTGCGCGTGCAACCCGACTAGTGCGCTGTACTGTAAAGTTGTGTTTGAGACATGGCACGGTAAACTTCGTGTGCAGGGGAATATTGGATCCCGTTCAAGGCATTAGGACGTTCAACTCGTCCCAGAAATTAACTCCGACTAGCGTATCCGAGGCAAAGACCAGCTCGGTTTGGTGTGTCACGGCGGCATCAACATCTCAGGTCCTAAGTTTCGGGCAGCATTTCTACACCTCTATACAGAAGCTTCGTTCTGCACGGTAGACCACGTAATCCTGCATACACGAAGCGGTAGTATCTGAATTGGGACCTTCGCAGTTTTCATCCGACACACCAGACTCAGCGACGAATCAGCAAAGCGCGCATGCAAAATTGCACATATGTGAGGCGTGTCCTGGATTGGTCTAGGGCGCTTTGGATAGTTTGCCACTGTCGCACGTCTGCATGGAAACTGCTTGGAGACGATGTAGGCATGTCATTCGTACCTCCCGCTCCCGCATCAGGTTGTACGACGAAGACCGGTGAACATGTCTTCAGTGCCTCAGAACATGTTTCGGTTCTGTGTCGAGTTGGTTGCATCACCCAAGGCGTGAGCTCACAGCAGCCATAGGCTTTAGAAGATACATCATCCGCATATTCATAAATCGATAAACCAGAAAAAAAGGCGCTGTCTCTAACTGTCAACCCTGACCTCGGGCATGTGCTCGATGTCCACGTCGACTCGGGCTTGGATCTATATCGCAACGTCCGCGAATACGAAAAAGATCACGTTGAGTGTTCGTATGCATTGACAGGCTTGTGTGGTCGAGGCACTGAAGTCGACATGCTTACACGGCTGACCCTTGAACCCGTTCAGGCATCAGTGCTCAGACTCATACTGTAAACCTGACCGTCCTCAGCTGGACCATGTGGAGCGGTAAGAAGGGCAGCGGCAAAGGCAAAGGGTCCAAGGGCAAGACTCCGGCTTGGGCTTCGGACGGTTGGGCGTCCTCGTGGTCGGCCTACAACGAACCTTGGAATGCCAATCGAGAGTCGCCTCAGGAATCTTATGCCTGGGGGTCTTGGGGCAGCGATGGCAAGGGAGGCAAAGACGACGGCAAGGGCAAGACCAAAGAGTATGTGCCTCGGCTCGAGGGACGCTACGCCTTGGCGAAGGCCGTGCTGCGTCCATACGCGGACGAGCATGGCAAGGCCGTCTACGCTAGCACCTCTGTCAAGGACCTGTTCGGCAAGGACAGCATGCGTCAAGTCCTGGACTCGCGCAACTGCGAGCTAGTTCGACGCCCTTCTGTAGGTCTCTCCACCATATCCGGATCGGCGCGAGCCCTCTCCAATTGTCTAGACACCTACTTGGAGGAAGGCGAAGGAACGCCCTCTGCGGTGTTGGGGCGATTTGCGGAGTTCTTCCAGACTGCTGAAGCAAAAGCCTTCATTGCAGCTTGCGAGGTTTTGGTGAAAGAGCGTGGCCCCAAATGTTCGACGTTTATAGTTTAGCCAATGTCCGAAAATCCGCGTGGGGGTACCGTTCACAGTTTAGGCCCGCGGGGGTACCGTTTATGCCAAACTATAGAAAGCGACCCCTATAAACTGTAGACGTTTGTAGTGTTGGCGTTAAACTATAAGAGCGGCTCCTAAACTATAGACGTTTATAGTTTAGGCGCTAAATTATCAAGCTTGGCTCCTAAACTATAGACGTTTATAGTTGAGGCGCTGAACTATACAGGTTGGCTCCTGACCTATGGACCTTACTAGTTTAGGCGCTAAACTATAAAGAGTGGCTCTTAAACTATAGACATCTATAGTTTAGGCGCTAAACTATCAAGGGGGGCTCCTAAACTGTAAACGTTTATAGTTTAGGCGCTAAACTATAAAGAGGGGCTCCTAAACTGTAAACGCTTATAGTCTAGGCGCTAAACTATGAAGAGTGGCTCCGAAACTATAGACGTTTATAGTTTAGGCGCTAAACTATAAAGAGGGGCTCCGAAACTGTAAACGTTTATAGTCTAGGCGCTAAACTATAAAGAGGGGCTCCTAAATTAAAGACGTTTATAGTTTAGGCGCTAAACTATAAAGAGTGGCTCCTAAACTATAGACCTTTATAGTTTAGGCGCTAAACTATAAAGAGGGGCTCCGAAACTGTAAACGTTTATAGTTTAGGCGCTAAACTATAAAGAGGGGCTCCTAAACTATAGACGTTTATAGTTTAGGCACTAAACTTTAAAGAGTGGCTCCTAAACTATACACGTTTATAGTTTAGGCGCTAAACTATAAAGAGGGGCTCCTAAACTGTAAACGTTTATAGTTTAGGCGCTAAACTATAAAGGGGGGCTCCTAAACTGGAAACGTTTATAGTTTAGGCGCTAAACTATAAAGAGGGGCTCCTAAACTGTAAACGTTTATAGTTTAGGCGCTAAACTATAAAGGGGGGCTCCTAAACTGTAAACGTTTATAGTTTAGGCGCTAAACTATAAAGAAGGCTCCGAAACTGTAAACGCTTATAGTTTAGGCGCTGAACTATAAAGAGGGGCTCCTAAACTATAGACGTTTATAGTCTAGGCGCTAAACTATAAAGAGTGGCTCCTAAACTATAGACGTTTATAGTTTAGGCGCTAAACTATAAAGAGGGGCTCCTAAACTGTAAACGTTTATAGTTTAGGCGCTAAACTATAAAGAATGGCTCCGAAACTATAGACGTTTATAGTTTAGGCGCTAAACTATAAAGAGGGGCTCTTAAACTATAGACGTTTATAGTTTCGGCGCTAAACTATAAAGAATGGCTCCGAAACTATAGACGTTTATAGTTTAGGCGCTAAACTATAAAGAATGGCTCCGAAACTTAGACGTTTATAGTTTAGGCGCTAAACTATAAAGAGTGGCTCCTAAGCTGTAAACGTTTATAGTTTAGGCGCTAAACTATAAAGAGGGGCTCCTAAACTGTAAACGTTTATAGTTTAGGCGCTAAACTATAAAGGGGGGCTCCTAAACCGTAAACGTTTATAGTTTAGGCGCTAAACTATAAAGAGGGGCTCCGAAACTGTAAACGTTTATAGTTTAGGCGCTAAACTATAAAGAGGGGCTCCTAAACTATAGACGTTTATAGTTTAGGCGCTAAACTATAAAGAGTGGCTCCTAAACTGTAAACGTTTATAGTTTAGGCGCTAAACTATAAAGAGGGGCTCCTAAACTGTAAACGTTTATAGTTTAGGCGCTAAACTATAAAGGGGGGCTCCTAAACTGTAAACGTTTATAGTTTAGGCGCTAAACTATAAAGAGGGGCTCCTAAACTGTAAACGTTTATAGTTTAGGCGCTAAACTATAAAGGGGGGCTCCTAAACTGTAAACGTTTATAGTTTAGGCGCTAAACTATAAAGAGGGGCTCCGGAACTGTAAACGTTTATAGTTTAGGCGCTAAACTATAAAGAGTGGCTCCTAAACTATAGACGTTTACAGTTTAGGCGCTAAACTATAAAGAGTGGCTCCTAAACTATAGACGTTTATAGTTTAGGCGCAAAACTATAAAGAAGGCTCCGAAACTGTAAACGTTTATAGTTTAGGCGCTAAACTATAAAGAATGGCTCCGAAACTATAGACGTTTCTAGTTTAGGCGCTAAACTATAAAGAGGGGCTCTTAAACTATAGACGTTTATAGTTTAGGCGCTAAACTATAAAGCCTGACCCCTAGACTATAAACGTTTATAGTTTAGCCGCTAAACTATAAAGGTTGGCTCCTAAACTATAGAAGCGTTTATAGTTTAGGACCATCGGTGGGGGGTCCCCCAGGATTGGCCTGGACCGAGCTTCAAAATGCGATTTTTTAGTACAGAAATCGATGCCGGAAATGCTGCCTCCAATTT